TTTATGTTTTTATATTTTAATCCTTAACACAAGGATCATTCGTGTTTTGCATATTTGTTTTCTTCAAAGAATTAGGAATATCAAGTAATTGTTATAACATTTATATTAGATGTTGGAATTAATTCGTAGCGTTTTTTTAATAAAGAATGTTATTTATTTCACATGAGCATTAAAAAATACATTAATGAAAGTACTTCCCATCACTTGTAAAACGCTACGAATTAATTCCAACACCTAATATAATCGAATTGTCTATTAGTTTCGATAATGTATTAGGTGTTGGAATTAATTCGTAGCGTTTTGTCGGTAGAGATCTCCAGTAACGGTTTCATGCGGTTTTAGCAGTTCGTAGTATATGACACCCTTCTGATCCCACCAAATACAGAGCAGGAGCTTTGAGCCATGGATATTGGGCTTTGCCACTGATGTTGATGGTTCGCCGGGCTTAACCCATGACTTTCTGCGCTTTGGATTGTCATAATGGATCCACTTTTCGTCACCGGTAACAATCCGATGCAAAAAACCTTTTCTTTTCTGCCGTTGAAGCAGCAGTTCGCACGTGAGAAAACGTCTCTCAATATCCCTTGGTTTCAATTCATATGGGACCCAATGTCCTTCCTTCTGGATCATGCCCAAACTTTTAAGACGTTTTCCTATTGTTGAGAAGTCAACTTCCAATGACGTAGATAATTCTTTAAGTGTTTGACATGAGTTTTCATTGAGCAGTGCCTGCAAATCGTTATCTTCAAATTTTTTCGGCTGACCAGGTCGCTCCTTGTCATCCAAGTCGAAATCACCAGCTTTAAAACGTGCAAACCACTTCCTACACGTTTGCTCAGCCAGAGCATGTTCACTATACACATCCACTAAAATATGATGAGCTTCAGCTGCACTTTTGTTCATATTAAAGTAATGAAGTAAAACTCCCCGCAAAAACACTTTATCTGGCACAAATTTTGACATATTCAATGAATTATACAGTATTGTTATTTATGATTTCAAGAAAGGTTATGTACGGCAAATGACGTCCTATGATAGTTTACAATGTATACAGAACTATAGGTAACAACGAAATAGTGTACTGCTTGTGCCATCTCTTGTAAAACGCTACGAATTAATTCCAACACCTAATACAATTTTTTTAAACACAATTTTTTAAATATTGTCTAAAGATATTGAATATATATATAAGAATAATTTAATAATTTTTGTATATTTCTTAAAGTAATGAAAATTAACCTAGGAAATGAAAAACTCCGATAGGAATAAAGGATCGGAAAATCATCGTGTGTACTAAAGATTAAAAATATATATATAAATGTGTAAGAGAAACATGCGTATTTGGGCAACTTTCATTTTTTTATTTATTTATTAAATAATTATTCTATTGTGCTTGTGCATTAACACTTTAAACAGCGATTTTGATTATCTCTGTAATTTTGTACTTTGGAATCGATTGGTAACGCAAGTATAATTAAGCAATGCACTTTGGAAAGTATAATTAAATTTATTCTTTTATATTACCAATTTTAATTGTATACTATTCATCGTCAGATTCATTAACAAGTATTGTTCATAGTTTCGGTGTTCATTTACTTTAATTGTTGTGTATAATCGCAACATAATCATATTAATCTGATTGACTCTTTACGTAAACTAAGATATCAAAATATTACAAATATTTTTGACACAATTTCATTGCTTGCGAAACATATTGAGAATGTTAAAAATACTTACGCTTTTATTTTCTATTCATTCAGACATCGGTGTTGCTTTCTTATATGTATAATTCGTGAATTAAAAACATAATTTTTTTGCATAGATAAATCATAATAATTGTTAAACTAAGTAATTAATATCTAAGCAGAGCAATGAGTCTCGATAAGATTAAAATAAATTGTAATTGATCGAGAAATTTTAATCATTTGGAGCTGTTTTTACGTCATTTTGATATCACGATGACTTTTTTCTGCGTGGATATATTATTTCTAGTTTTCATGGTTGGATAAGTTAATTTTTAAAAAATTAAGTTAAGTTAAAATTAAAACTATTGGAATCACAACATAAGCTCCATAATTCATTACACAATTAAAATTACATGAATAACAAAAATTTTTTCGTAGCATACGGTCATACTGATAAAATAAAATAAAATTTAAAAATTATTGTGAAGTATTCGACACAGCGGTTTCTAAGTAAAGACTTCCAATAATCTGTCAACTGTTGGGAAATCCACACATTACATGAAAAATTTGATTACAGCACAAGAATTTGTTATCTAACAATGAATAATTCATTCTAAAGATGACTCAAAGAGGAGTTGAAACGTCAAAATTCTTTTATATTATGATTATCGAAATCGCACAAAAATTTATGGAATAAATTTAATAAATATGAAATAATCTGAAATAATAACTGTGTTGATTCCCACAGCCTTTATTACTTTTTATCATTTTGAATTTGTAGAGTCTTTGCTTTCGTTAAATTTATACGGGAAGGCTTCGCATACAACAATATTGCACGCAGCATATTGCACACACGACAATATTGCACACAACAATGTTGCAAAAATAGGAGACATATTTTTTTATACGTGTTGAGTCGCACGTTAAGGGGATGAAATCCTCTCTTCAAAAAAATCGATTTGTTTCTTTCAGATTGAATATCGTCGAAACTATAAGAGATAGAAAATTTACAGATTGAAAATTAAATGACATAAGAGTACTTTAGAATAAAAAAATTTTTTCTTTATAAATAAATAATTTTTATTATAAATAATTAAAAAAAATTTTTTTATTTAAATTTTTTTTTATTTAGTTTTAAAATACTCTTGAAGTCATTCAATTTTCATTCTAAAATTTTTTTCTATCTCTACAGTTTCGAAGATATTCAATCTGAAAGAAAAAACAGATTTTTTTAAGAGACAATTTCACCTTCTTAACAACTCAACACGCATAAAAAAATATATGTCTTCTTTTATTTTTATCCGTAGAACAACATAATAAAAACTCATTTAAATCGGAGAGGGTTCACTTGGTTGTATTCCCTTGTAAGTCAAGTTAAAATTAATTAACTTTTTAACTTTATAACTTAACTTTTAACTTTTTAACTTAGCAATACCAACCCTGCCAGTTTCTATATATTCTATACATGTTTTTTATATAATATTCATTTTGTACATTATAATATTTATTTTTAACTCTTTTTTACATGTAATTTAGATATTGTACAATTACTTTATCATGTATGATTTTAAAATAATCAAATAGTATTAAATAAATAATTCCAATTTTTTTTCTTCATTTATTTGAAAATTCTAACTGTTGAAAAATGTTACATAAAAACTAAAACATATTTTTGTAAAAATTACATAATTTCAACATAATATGTAATATTATTTATTTTGCAACCTATTATCTAGACATGTTAAATCTTAAAATTTAATAGTATATTCATAAATAAATACAATATCGCAACTTATTATTAGACTTTTATATTAATTAGGTATAATATAATTTTATTCTTGTTTTATTTACCATTTCTATTTGCTTTTTTTTTAATCATTGTGTACCAATTTGTTATTACGCATATATGTATCAAAGCATTAAATTAAAATAAGTTTGAATTATATCCAATTTTCTGGCAAAAATTAAGATATTAATAAAGCTATATAAATAACAGAAATTCGTTTCATTATAAATTTAATAGTAAACACTTTTTGTCTTATTATTTTGTTATTTATTGTTATCTTAGATACAACAATGTCCGTATCTCAGCTCATACAGTCGTGCGGAATAAATGGATTTACACGAGATGATAAAGTACGATATTTATAAAAAAAAAATCGATTGAATCATCACGCCATTTATTGTGAAAATTAATGGACGATAAAAAACGCAATAGATGAATCTTAATTGAATCACGTAATATAATTGTAAAAAAATCTGATAAATTTATTGCAGTTACTATTCGCGATAAAATGTGTTTATTTGAACGAATTTGATTCAATTAATTACGTAATTCAAAGATTCGCGTTTTTTATGCATCCATTAATTTCATCAAGCACTAATAATAATATTACGTATGTAGTAAATGATAACTTCGTTAAATAAGTAAGTGTCAACAATCGTTATTTTTCTGTGATTGAGTATCATTTCTTTTTTTGTCATTCATAATTTGTTAACTTTATATGTATATAGCACAGAAGTGTTTACTTTGCGTACTGCATGCAGTACATATCTATTATATAATATAACTGTATAATTAGATTTAGCAATTACATTATTACCAAGCACGCACATTTAATAACCTCTTACAATTTTAATTAAAATGATAATATTAGGTGTTGGAATTAATTCGTAGCGTTTTTTAATGAAAGAATGTTATTTATTTCACATGAGCATTAAAAAATACATTAATGAAAGTACTTCCCATCACTTGTAAAACGCTACGAATTAATTCCAACACCTAATACAAGTTTCTCATAATATATTCTATAATACTATTAGAGATTTTCATTTGAGATTGTGCATCAGTAAAAGAATTCGTAGCTTGATTCATTACATCACAGTAATATTATAAATCATAGAGATAATATAGATGTTTGGAATTGCAAAAAATTCCAACAATATTACAATAATTTAAAGTTATAATATACGAATTATTTAATACAAATTTTTTGCTACTTATATGTTAAATTATTCATTAGATGATTTTAGTTCTTTAGAATCTTGTATGCGTTAATGATAATGTCACATGTAAACAAGTAAGAAAAAGTGCTTCTGTCGGTAATTATAAAATCTAATATGTATATTAATTTTTGTATAATATATGTATATTAATAATTTCTGCAAAAATCATATTTTTTGCTTGGTAATGTGGATGACTATTATTAACATAAAACGTAAGAGCAACGCCATACTTTAAAAACTCACTTAAAATTTATGTTATACTATTTTAATATTTAAAGTACATAAACCGAGTGGAAAAACTTGTTGTAGGAGATGACTCAATCGATTAGATATGCATCAGCTAGTGAAACTGGTCTCGATGGTAATTTCATTATATTTTTATTAAAAAATTTCTTTAATAATTATTCCAATTAAATTCTCTTATCTTATTAAATCTATCGATCTCCTTTTACAATTTATTGTCAGTTACAATGTTAAATCATTACTGCTAAGTATTGTACTTATCTTATTTTACTTTATTGTAGAAAATTATTTATATATTCTACCCACAGCAAAGTATGCATTTTCTTCTATTCTATTAAACAATTTAGTTTTGTAAATTGTTATTTTGTTTAAACAATGTTTAAAAATTGCTATTTTCTTTAAATTATCATTTTATTTAAATAAGAAAGTAAAATATTTATGTTTACATATTTTTAGGACCTGATCAGGTGCTACCTGCGGACGTAGATACTACATGTAACGTCGATGGCAAAGTACGAATAAAATTAGATAGCAATGAACTTAATTCATATATGCCTGTATCAATCCCTGGAGTTTTAACTAGAACAGCAAAGCTTTATTCTGACCATATAGCATTGGTATCTGCACCTGATGCCAACGGCAAAAGAACCACATATACCTTCCAGTATGTATAAAAAAAAATGTAATAAGACTTTTATTTTTCTTCATTATCACAATAAGTAATATATGATAAAATGTATAAGACTAATTTTTCTATTTATAATTTTATAAAAATATTATTTTGTACAACTCTTTGTTCTTTCTTCTTTTCTGATTGATAAGTAATTTTAATGAGTTTAGCAATTAAACTCTTTATCATGTTAGATAATACAATTAACTTTATACGATTTTGTTAATTTATATTACAGAGAATACGAGTCTATTGTAAAAACCGTCGCAAAAGCATTTCTGAAGCTGGGTTTGGAGCGATATCATAGCGTTTGCATAATGGGGTTCAACAGTCCAGAATGGTTCATTACCGAACTTGCGACTATATATGCTGGGTAAAAAAGCTTAATACTTTTATGTCTAAATGAGTATCACGTATAATTACTTTTACACAATTTACAATTTACTTATATAGCGATGTAATAATAAAAAAAGATATAACGTTTCAACAACGTATATTTTTATTTTTCCGATTTTTAGATAAATAGATCTCATCGTTCTTTTTTAGTGGATTAGCTACAGGGATTTATACTACAAATTCTCCAGAGGCGTGCCAATATTGTGCTGAACACAGCAGGGCAAATATAATAGTCGTTGAAGATGAGAAACAATTGCAAAAAATCTTGCAAATAAAACACAATTTGCCTCACTTGAAAGCAATTGTTCAATATGATGGCAAACCTACCGAAAAGAATATTTTGAGTGTAAATTTACTATACTTATCTAATACCTTTTTATTTAGTATACACAACTTATTTTTTACTTATTATTTGTCAGTGGAACGATTTATTGAACATAGGTAAAACAGAATCGGAGGATAAATTATCATATGTATTAAAGACGATAGCAGTAAACGAATGTTGCATTTTAGTATATACGGTATGTTAAATTTATCACAATTAATCATCACAATTTATTACAATTAATCTGCTATAATATTTAATGTATCATTTCCTTATTTGCAATTTTTCCAGTCAGGAACAGTTGGAAATCCAAAAGCTGTAATGTTAAATCATGATAATATATTACATGGCATACGCGCAGTAACATCAACGTTACAAATAAAAGAAAAATCAGAAGTTATAGTTAGCTACTTGCCATTATCTCATGTTGCAGCACAGGTGAGATGTTTCAAATAGGATAATGTATTTTATTTAGATGTCTTCAGGCCCATTTTCACAATATGTGATTACCTAAAGACTAAAAATTACTAAGAAATTCATTAATAAAATTCATTCAAGAATTCTTTAATCTTTACTAATCATATAATGTGAAAACGGGGCTTATAAGTAGAAATATTTTGGTAATATCACTATAGGATTGAAAAAATTACTTTCTAAACATAACTAGTTATAGTTACTTAGAAAGTAGATATTTCATATATAATATATTGCATATGTTTATACTGTATTATACATATGTTTTTGTATAAAAATTTGTTTATAAAATATCAGAGATAAAAATATATTTCAATTACAAGAATTACAGATTGTTTATTGAACACTTCATTTTGGTCAATATGTTGAGAAATATAAATTTAAAATATAAAAAGTAACTGTATAGAAGTAACTGTTAAATAAATTACAATTAGTTACAAAAAAAACGTAATTTATGTTAAATTACAATTAATTTAAAAAAGATTAAAAAAGCTCTAAAATAAATGTGTACAGCCAATTTTAAAAAAGAGAAGTATTATTTTTTACCATGTTGTAATTAATTACAACTATTATAGAGCTCGATTAAATTTGTCAATTAGCGACATTAAATGCCACTTCAAAAAAAGCTATTTGATACATTTTGAATAGCAAAAGTAAAGCTAATGATAGTTACTTTTCTAATGGATAACGATGAGTTATTTTTTTTTAAAGTAACTTTCCCAAACTTGTAATTACATCTAAATATCTATTTCAATAGAAAAAAAATTGATTTATAATCATGTTTTTATTAATTTTAGTTAATTGACGTCATAGCAAACATTATGTTAGCGACTACAGTGTGCTTTGCAGATTCAGGTGCATTAAAGGGTACATTATTAAATACATTACTTGTGGCACAACCGACTATTTTCCTGGGAGTGCCTAGAGTATGGGAAAAGATATATGAAAAGATGCAAGAAAAAGCAAAAAATAATGGTGTAATAAAAACGTGGATTGCTAAATGGGCAAAAGCACAAGGTCTTCATTACTACACAAATAAAATAAATGGCATAGATTACAAACATTGGGGCTACGTCTTTGCAAAATGGCTTGTTTTCGACAAAGTCAAGACAGCATTGGGTTTAAACAAATGTCACATGTTCATTACCGCAGCAGCACCCTTGAATATCGATATTAAAAAATATTTCTTAAGTTTAGACGTATCTATATTAGATGTATATGGAATGTCTGAAAGTACTGGACCTCATACAATAACCGACTGTAAAGAATACAAGTAAATTATATCTGCTTTTATTCTTTATATTTTTACAAAGATATCTGTAAAATATTAGGTGTTGGAATTAATTCGTAGCGTTTTTTAATGAAAGAATGTTATTTATTTCACATGAGCATTAAAAAATACATTAATGAAAGTACTTCCCATCACTTGTAAAACGCTACGAATTAATTCCAACACCTAATATATTATATACAATAGACGTTATTTTTATTTATTTATAGCCTGCATAGTGTAGGAAGACCTATGTCTGGAGTATATACAAAATTAGATAATATAGATGAACATGGTGAGGGAGAGGTTTGTATGAGTGGACGACATATATTTATGGGTTATTTAAATGCACCAGAAAAAACTGAAGAAGCCAAAGATAAAAACGGCTGGTTACATAGTGGTGACCTTGGCAAATTCGATTCAAAAGGGAATTTGTTTATTACTGGTAAACATATGTTTTACATCTATTAACATTTGTCATTATGTAATATTTTGACAAAAATTTTTTTGAGAATTTTTATACATATTGAATTATTTTTTAGAAACACTAAGAAAAATGTATCTTTTTTCAGAATTTTTTGTACGTATGAATTTTGAAATATTCTAAGATTTTTGAGATTTCTTTTTATATATCTTTGAAAAGATTTTATAAGATTTTATGAAAAATTACAAAATAGGAATCTTAGAAATCTGAAAATATTTTAAAATTCTCACACGTAGAACGACTCTAGAATAAAATCTTTCTCGACACTTCTTAAAAATGTTCCAGTGCGTAAAAAATTTAAAAAATTTAAACAAAGTTATAAAATTATTCAAAGATTCTGAAATATTTTTATACAATTTTCAAAAAAATTATATAAAAAATTTTAAGCAAAATTTTCATCAGAATATTGTTAAAAATAATCATATTCATGTTATGTCAGCAAGTACGATATATAATATATTTTGTATATTCGCAGGTAGAATAAAAGAACTTATAATCACAAGTGGAGGAGAAAATGTGGCACCGTATAATATAGAACAATCGATATTATCTGAATTACCATATTTAAGTAATGTTATGGCAGTTGGAGATAAAAGGAAATATTTAACAGTCCTTGTCACGCTTAAGGTACAATGCGAAAAAATAAAAGAATATAAATTTAAAACTATAAATGTCCAACTAATACGTTTTTTTTCAGAGTAATATTAATGAAGAAACTGGTGCGCCGTTAGATACGCTGACGCCAGATGTATTAAAATGGGCACAATCTATTGGTAGTAGTGCCAAAACGATTACAGAAGTCATAAGCTCTCGTGATGTAGCAGTAAGTCTTCAAAGAGACTCATAACATTAGTTAATATTGTATAATAAAAAAATATTTATTTTTTAAGTCCGAATTGAGCAAATGAACGCAAACAAATATGAATAAACAACTTTTGTAGTAATAATTTACTGGCGATGCATTAGTTATTATAAATATTGATGATGTAAACGTATTGAGACAATATTGAATTAATACTAGGTCAATATTGTGTATTAGTTATTTTAATGCAAACAACATTGCCAGTACGATAGCATTCGTATTTGTTCGTTTGGTCCGGATGTTTAAATACTATAAAATGTTTCTTGCTTTTTTAGATATATGAAGAAATCAATGAGGCAATTAAAAGATCAAATATGCAAGCTGTAAGTAATGCTCAAAAAGTACAAAAATTCGAAATTCTTCCTCATGATTTTTCGATTCCAACTGGCGAATTAGGACCCACGTTAAAACTTAAAAAGAATGTAGTTCAAAAAATGTATGCTGATTTGATAGATAAAATGTATGAATAAACTATTCACGCTACCTAATAAATTCCGACTAACAATAATATTTTACATCGATATTATAATTTCATACTTAACAAAATGAATAATAATATAACAAAATTAGCAATTATATCGTTAAATTTGAAATTATAACATTAATTTTATGTTACTGTTAATTAATATTTATTTGATATCGTCATAATGAGGTATGTGTTATTAAAGAATCTTATATCGTTTTTATATCATACCTTAATATCGAATATTTTAAGTAAAATCGAATGTTTTAGCGACATATTTGAGCATTTTAATGTTTGAGTGCAGATGATTAAAGGAAATAAAAAAAATGTTAATAATAATAAGTTTTGTTTGGTTTTGGCTAATGTTTAATTGAAGTTTCGAGATGTATAAATTATGTATCGTATTAAATGATTGAATACTTAGCGGAAAATGAGTAGCATATTATTTATCTTAAGAACATATCAACAAAAAATCATGATCAAGACAATAATGTTATTACATTTATCAATAAAAAATTGTTAAGTAAGACATCAAGACATTTTAAGAATTAACACATCATTAAACAAGATAACAGTTAGATATTCATTATAAATATAGATATTTATTTTTATATATGTGTACACGTTATATTGATATTGAAACTTATATATATTGAAAGTCATTAATTGTCTTTTTTTAATCAATTCTAAATAAAAATAATTGTTGTGTAATATACTATATTTGATCAGCTTCGTAAGCCACTGTTATTATGATTTTAAACTATGTAAATTTTTTATTCGATGTTAGTAGCTATCCAAAATAAAAATGTCTCGACGCTAAGATAAGCGCAGTTAAATAAATATCAAAGATTGATAAGTTAGAAATGAATTTGACATATAATAGCAAATGTATTATTTTATTAGTCTTTATTATGGATATTCGCAATTATTGCATATTTCCTATTTGCAATGATATATTTACAAATTAAAATTCGGATAAATTATTGTATCTGTTATAAATCATTTTAAATTAAAAATTCATGTTATTTTAATTTGATATATTTTATGCAGTTACACAAAAAGAAAAAAATAAATCGATTGAGCAAGAAAAACAATAATAATTGAATTGTAAAAATTAATAGCGTGCAATTAAACAGCATACATACTCTGTAAACATTTACAAAAATTTAAAATTATTAAAATTATAACATTTACTTTATGAGTCTAATGTAATTTAATTTAATCATGACAATTTTTATGATACAGTTATTAGAACAATGGGCTAGTTTGATTTCATTATAGCTAAAACATATATTTCGCATTAATACGACATATTAGGCTATTTAAAAAGTATCCGCGGTTTTTTGTTCAATTTTTGAATGAAAAAACCGCGGATACTTTTTAAATGACCCAATATTAGCACATCAGTCCTTGTATTCTGTAATTCGTTATGCAGTCGTTATATGTTCATAAACTTACTATGTAAAATATCTGCGCAATATCATTATGAACGATTGTATAACGAGCAGGGAATGAAAGTATTTACTTGTAACGAAGTTACAATTAATTTTTTTCTTTGGTAACTGTAACGATAACAAAGTTACACTTTTTTGATAACAGTAACGAATTTTACAACTACTCATACACATTATAATTAGGGTAACTCCGATATATACGCTCTATCAAAAACTTAATTTATTAAGTATTATTTATTATATAAAGATTATGCGTTTCCCCTGTGTCCAGGTTCACGAAACGTTAGCATTCCAAGAATGGATCTGGACACGAAGGAAATCCGCGAAATGCATAATCTTTATATAAAAAGCATCTATGGAAGCCTCAAGAATATTATTATTTACTATGTTTAAGTAAATAAATTATATCAGTAAAAACTTTGTACTGTCTATTATGAAAAACTACCATGAAAAAAAATATTAGAAATCTGAAATATTTATTTTTCATATTAAAAAATAAACTTTTTGAAACCCTTGCATTTTTGCCATATATTCTATAGGAATGGGATATATAGCTACTCTTAGGGGGACGGAGGTTATGTACAGCATGAAAAATTTACAAATAATGCATATAAATAAGACGTATAATGACACAATAACTTATAAAATGTGTTTATAAAGTTTTATTAAGGAATAAAAATGGTAAATATGTACATAAAGTAATAAATAATAATTACAATCTTTCTACATATATTACAAGTGTTATGAGATGAGGTATATATTTTATATAATGCATTTATTGTATTTAGTGCACTGAATTCAATCTGCGCACTCTTTGTATGCTTTGGGCATAAATCGCTCGCTAAAAATGCCGTATATCCTAAACTGGTGGGATATACAAGACAACAAACTAAACAAAGAATACGAAAGCAAAGTACTTGTATTTTGCTACACAACATGCTTTACTATTCCACTACACGTATGTATCACGAAATAATCACTAAGTCTTTTACACGCCCTACAGTTATCATTTTATGTAGATATAATTTATGATGGCATACTTATTACAGTGACAAATCGATTCAACTCACAATAATTTCATTGATATTAACAAGTAAGAAACTGAAATCATAATTTAGTATTAATATAACACAAAGGTAACAAATTAGTTGTGGAAAAATGATCCCCATTCTTTCTATTTTTTCTGACCTCTGCAGCGTAAATCTCAGCGCGGCGTATTTGCCGGAGTTATCCTATACTTCCACAATCTATTTAATTACAAACCAAGAAATTATTTTTATTTGCATATTGCAAATTTATAAACACGTGAATGTTCACAACTATTATAGTTTTAAAATTACCCACTATAATAGTTATAATTTTACACAAAAATTTTTTACAGTGCATAGTGCTTGAAACTAGAAAGCCCGTAGGTCTGTCCGCTGTGACGACAGTCCTTGGCAGTCGTCGATTTAAAAAAAATAACGGAAAAGTAACGAAAAGTTACTTTCTCAAGTAACGATAACGAGTTACTTTTAAAAATCGGTAACTAGTAACGGTAACTTGTTACTTTTTCTACTCAGTATTGCTGCAATACCGCTGCAATATTGCTGCAACATGCAATATGCTGCAATGCTGCATTGTGTTGTAGAGAAACTTTCCATTCCTTGATAACGAGTTACAGAATACAGAGGAAGATGGCTTATATGCAGTGCGATCGAATTAGCAATGGATTGAATTCTTAGACAGTATTATAAGAGCTGTCGCACGATATGAGTAATCTACAGTCCAAGTGATTCAGCTTATAATTCAGAACAGCACATAGGGGAATTATTTGTCTAGAATTTTAAATAGTTAAGAAATAAAGAAGGGTAAGTAGAATGAGAGCGAATATCTGTAGTTATATCGAGCGAATATATACAAGAGTGACATAAATATAAGACTTTTTTTGTGTGACTACAAACCAATATTAGAGGTACACACACTAAAAGAAAGGATTATACACTACGTAAGCTTCCAAAATTCATTATTAACTATGAATATCTATAGTTTACGTTACACACACACACGCGCGCGCGCGCGCACAGCACACATAGAATGAGGAAAAAGTATAGAATTGGTAAAATATCTCGAAAATGCATTGAAAAGAAAAATTATTCATATAATAGTAATGAGATTTCAATATTTTATCATAAATACGGAGTTCTCAAAATCAACTTTAAAATAGATGCAACTTTTAAATAGATTCCCCACTTTTTATTCAATATTCTTGTAATTGACATCGGAATCTTTTCAAAACACAATAATGAAACTTCTTTTGATTACGTATTTTTCGAGATATTAATCAAAAAGAATATAGGAGCGATATTTTTATACTTTTTATTTTCTAATGGTTATATAGATAAGTAATTGATTAATAAGTATAATAATTTGGAAGAATTCTCTTGAAATTTTCATCTTTTACAATAAATGAAAATTTTATAAATAACAAATATTAGGGCAACCAATTTCAATTTCTAACAATTATTTTTCAATTAATGTATAACAATATGTAGTCTGTTATCTTCTTTTATTCAATGTATAATCCACATTTCTTACAACTTATATATATATTTCATATTGCTTCTAATTTAAATTTAATTAACATTATTGCAATATATAAATTAAATATATTGGGTTGAAGAAAAAGTTGCGAAATTTTGTTAACTCAAAATTATATACAGAATATATTTGTTGCGAAATTTTCAACTATCTGACTTATGTCTGACAACAAAAAACGTCTTTTAGAAAAAACTTTAGTTTTTTGTTACCAAGTTACACGCGAATTAGAAGAACATTCTGACTTTGATTGCTTATAACTCCTCATTAAAAATCATCGTAATTAATTAAACAGGTTCTTAAAGCCCTCAAGTGATGTAACTCCCAATTTAAAAAAAAAATAGAATATATACATTTGAGCTACAAATGTAATATTAATGTCTTTTTTTTCATTGTGCAATATATATAAGAATAGTAATACACATTTTTTTTAACAAATTTCCATATATTTTACATTTAAAAAATTAGCATGATACTATTCAATAAAGCAATGTTTCTGATTTAAGAATCTGTTTTTTTAATTGCAGATGATTTACGATGATTTTTAATGGAGTTATGCAATCACAGAATGCTCTTTTTATTTAACTTGTGAATAATTCAAGAACAAAAAAAAATCATAAAAATGTTTTTAATAAACGATTTTGTAAGATCTTCAATTTTTTATAATATAGATAGTCGAAAATTTTCGCAAATTTTTTTTGGCACGTGATAGACCCATAAAGTAAGAAGAAAAATTTCCCTTTTTTCCAACTCGTAGGTTTTCATATATAAAAATAACAAAACTCAAATAAATTCAACATTCGGAAGTAGAGATTTCAAGCTTTAAAATTCTTTTTAAATTTTAATTTTAATTATTTTTAACGAAGATATTATATATATAATTTTGATCTAATAAAATACCGCAGAACTTTTCCTTCAATCCAAGAAATATGGAATATCATATTGAATATGAAAAACAGAATTTTTTGCATTAATTAGCCTCTTGATATCTCTGTCTATGTAAAGCTATTTATTTT